AAACACAAGGGAGCCACCTTTTGTAGGCATATCTTCTTGGCTATTTAACTGCCTTCCCAACTTGGTCATTTTATGGTAGTTTTCTTAGGGTCCTTTTTCCGGCTCCTCTCAGTATAGTAGCATGGTCATATAGATTTTAGCAATTTATTGGGAATATTGAAGAAAGAAGAGTGAATAACTCAAATGATTCAGTATTTTTTAAAGGACTATTAAGGAGAGAGGAGATGCTAAATTTAGATGCCTCATTCCATTAATTTTACATTAAAACTTATTTTATTTTTCCCAGTTTTAATAATTGATTCTTATTCTTTTGGTATCTTAAATTCTCCAAATGCACATCAGAAATCTTCAAAACTGATGGGATAGTAACTTTTGCCAATGCTGTTTTTGTCTTCTTTTTTATTATTATTGTATTTTCAGATGATTTGACAGATGGGATATTAGAAATCAATTCTCGTATGTTTAAAATTGCCATGAATTTTGACATGATAAGTATAACAAGTCTGTCCCTTTGTAGCCACTGGTTAAGTATTGCAATGAGAATAAAAAGGTTAAAAGTCATGTGATAGATGTATCAGTTTCCTCTGGCTTGGAGGAAAAGAACAATAAACCTTTGTATTCTTTTTGTTTTTTTAAAATGAGTTACTTCATTTTTACCTACCAAGATGACACATGACTATAGTGAGAGAGAAACAAAGTCTCTGCCCACAAAGTGTAATAAGGCCCATTTTCACCCACTTCCCCAATAACAGTCTAGTGATGGAAATGCACCATTTTTTATATTCCTTTGGAAAAAAACCTGGTAAAATGACTATGAACAGTACTAGCCCAGTGCGGAGGTAGATTTTAATAATGGAGAGTGCTTTAAGCCAAGTGTAGAAAGGTAGAAGTTTAAGCATTAGTGATCAGGAGGGACTAGATATTTCAAAGATCAGGAATATTCAAATATACTATTTGGCCCTAGGTATACATTTTTTTTTTTGTTAAGTTTGAGCCTGATACAGTGTTAAATTCTGGACTAGTGATTAGAGCAAATTATCCAATTTTCTTGACTTCTAGTGTCTTCATCTCCAAAATGGGCAATGTTAGGAGGAATCAATGTGGCAAGGAATGTTAATGCATTTGATGAATAATTTCCTCATTCATTTCATAAATTCAATCTGATAAGCAGAGTAGTTATTAAGTCTGTGTTGTTCAATTTTGAAAGCTCAGTCTATGCCTTATGAATTATTTGGGTGCTGCTGGTGCCTTTGTGTGTAGGACAGTATGTGGAGGTCCCAGAATCCTTCCCTACTTGCTGAACACTTAGGAAGTATTTCCTTCACTGGAAGCAAACGTGAAGAGTGAACTTTTCTACTTTTCCAAGAAGGAGAAAAGTAAGAATTAAGCATCAGTTCT